GGGTCCGCGCTGCCCCGCCCGGCCGGCCCCGCCCGGCTCCCCGGGCTGCCGGGGCTCCGCTGCTGCGGGCTCCGTGCCCAGCCCCGCTGCCCCTGCGCCCCAGGCGCCTCCTCCTCCCGGGCTTGTTCTGCCGGGAGATGCTCGGTGGGCAAGACAAAGAGAGAGCGGGTGCTGCCGAGACTGCTCCTGCCATCCAGGCATTTTTGGGAGCTATTTTATCCCTGGACAAACTCTTTGAACATCCGCAAAAGGTTGTCTAGATTAATGGTAGTTCAAAACACACCATCTGCAGGGACTGCTTCTGTGGGCTGTGTTTGCTATCAGTCTGCTGTTGGACCCAGAGGAGGTGTTTTACTAATCTAGAAGGTGGCAGGAATTTTGCCCACCACCCGTCATCTGCAACTGATAGTACGATGCTGGCACTGTTCCTCACCTGCTGTGGGTAGAACTGTTTTCCTTGTATGCATTCTTCCCTCCTCCAGCAGTGCACAGCAAGTTTAGCACATGCTTTTCCTCAGACAAAATCACTGCCATCCAACAGGATGGGAAAAAGCAAAGTCTGGATCCCATCTCCAGCCACCGAGATCTTGCAGGCAACTCAATCATGCTCCCAGCAGTGGCTCAGCCTGCCCTACTTTTTGGAATTGGAGCCATAAGCTGACTCCTATCAGGACTATCACCACAGTGAGCCCAGGTGCCCGTGGCAGACTGTGAGTCCTGAATGCAGAGCAGGGGCTGTGGTGTGAGGGCACACAGCTGTAGGAGCAGCCTGGGGCTCCCACTGCCTTGTGCATCCGTGGACAAGCACCAGCCAATGCATCTGTGGAAGAATGTTGTGGCTATTGGGCTCTCACTTTGGGGGAAGGGGGATGGCCATGGCTTTTTGTGGTACAGAGCCTGCAAGGATCATTTTCCTTCTCAACCTTCCTCTGAGGCGTGAATGGGGATGGAGATGTGGGTGCTTTGCATCATGACAGCCTCTTTCAGATGCTCTAGTGTTTGTGGTACAGAGCCTGCAAGGATCATTTTCCTTCTCAACCTTCCTCTGAGGCGTGAATGGGGATGGAGATGTGGGTGCTTTGCGTCATGAAGCCTCTTTCAGATGCTCTACTTGTGACCCCTGTCTGGCTTGAAGAGACAGACACAAAAAGGGGCTGGACTCTAATGCAGCCTGGCTAATGCTTTAATTTTGTCAGAGTGTCTGGGCAACTCTTTAACCATGGTAGGTCAGATTCTGAAGGCCCTTCTCAGAATTTTACCCAGTTTGACCAGACTAAAGCCCTGACTGTCCATCTGCCTCTTTGTCCCCTCCCTGCTCTGAGCACCTTCCTGAGGGAAATTAGCATCAACAGATCTTGAGATATGGCCGAGACTGACTCAAGCTAATCCCATTTGGAGGGAGTACATGCTGTGTAAGGACTTCTGGATCTGGTCAGAGAGCTGTGAGAGAGGCTGGGTCAAGAGAAAACCCCTCATATGGGGTGCAGTGTTACAGCTGGGAGCAGTGGGAAGGACAAAAAGTGCTGGAGCAATGGGTGAAGGTGTCAAAGGAGGGGTGCACGATGGCCTTCCCCTGGCCAGGGGACAGCTGGACAGGCTGCCACAGATCCGTGCTCCTGCCTGCCCTGCTCTGAGCGCTGATGAAAGGGACAGCAGCGACAGTGGATGTGGAACCAGAGGAGCAGTTCATCAGCAGAATGACTGTGTCTGGCTCAGTTGTCTCACACCTTATCTCAGAGAGTCAGAAGGAAACACAATCTGCAGTTTACTCCTAGTGGGGGTGAGACCAGGTGGATTGTCCTGAGGCAGCGGGAGAACCAGGGCACACAAGTGGCTTGGAGGATGGCACTGTCACCAGGATACCCCTCCTCTGCATGTGGCTTGGAAATATCCTGCCACAGAGCAAATCCTCTTAACAAACAAACAATTGCAGGGCAGTGCAGCTGTCTCCCGGCTGTGCTTTAGCACTGGGAGCACTACAATAGCATGGATATTGGGAGCTAATAATGAGAAACACACCAGTGCTCCACGTGGATTCGCTGAAGGAGAATGCCTGGCCGGCAGCTCTCTGTAGACTGAGAGATAACCCTGCCCTATCTGTGTGTGCCTCCAAAGGGCAGTGACAGCAACTGGATGTGCTTCTATAGCTGAGATGCTCAGCAAGGGGAGGAGGCAGGAGTTTGCTTGGAAAGAGTGGACTCTTCTGTCAGAGTCTGCATCCTCTGGTCCTAATGCAGCCCTAGGAGAGAGTGAGCCAGTAGGTGAGCATGCAAGACCTGGGAGATACCAATCTACAGGAGTGTCCCCACCTTTCTTTCATCTCTGCTGCAGTGTCAAGGGCACCCATAAACTTTGCATAGAGATAGATCAGCTGAAGAGCTTGTTTGGTACAACAGAGTGGGAGCTGGTGTTTCTCACAAGGACCACAAGCTGTGGGTTTGATACTTGGAAATCCCATCCCCGTGGATATTTTAGCACCTCTCAGAAGGATGTTATCTTGTTTCTAAACTGAATGCAGGGTACATGGTGCTGCCAACTGCATCTAGCTGGGTGCAGCATGACTGAGTTAATTTTACCAAAAATTGCTCCTAACATGAGAAATGGGAAAAATGGAAAGCAGAGATCCTTTTGCTATTCACTCAAATTCTGTGCTATAAGCACATCTCCTTGTCACCCAAGTGCCCAGGAATGGGAATGTTCCCAGTTCCTTGTCTTTCAGGCAAGTGGGGAGAGCTCTTATCAGCACCAGGACAGAACAACAACTGTACAGGGTCAGACCACAGGTCCCTTTCCCCTGGGATCCTCAATTAGCAGTGGTTAATAGAGGATGTCCAGCAAGGAGGATAAAACCAGGGTCAGTGTGTAGGTCAGTGTGTTGCTGGGTACTCTCCTTACCATCAGCCATCCGTAGTTCAGGAATTTCCTGACATGTGGATCTCTGCATTTAATAGTCTTTTCAAGTTTTTCCTAAACCCTTTTTTGAGCCTGAGAAAATTTTGGGTATCCACAGCAACTTATGGCACTGTTCAGCAGTGTGAAGAAATATTTACTTTGTTCTGAATCTGTCACTCTCTGTTTTCATTTGATGCTTTTGTAGCTTAAATATTGGAAGAGGCAGCAGGCAGTCATTCCTCTTTCATTTTCTCTAAGTCACTCCCAGATAAACCCCTGCTGTGCCCCCTCTCAGGTTTCTGCTTCCCAAATTGAAGTGTTGGACTTGTAGGAAACCATTTCATCCTTAACTAAGTCCCTGCCTCTCCTCTAGCCCTGCTGTAGCCTCTGCTGCAGTAGGACAGCAGCCGTGGGGCTGCAGCTGCACCCCGGGAGCACACTGGGTTTGTCATTTGCTCTGGCTGCCAGCACTCACGTGGATGTTTTTGACTGTGCTCAAGCCTTGAGCTGATGCTTTCACTGGACACTCCTGCCTTGCTCTTGCTATCACTTGGCCCCTGTGACTCAGTTTCCCATTAGTAGGCCATTTATGAATCCACGCTGGCAGTCATGGCCAGGGATTTCCAAGGACTCATCTCCATGCTGTCCATCCCTGCAGGGTCTGCAGCCTGTGCAGCTGGGCTGGGAGTTTGGGCTCCCATCTGTGGCTGGGCAACGTTGTGGCTTCCTCGCTGGCACGGCCGAAGGGGCTGCTGGAGTGGGCACTGTGTGGTGTGTGCACTGACAGGAGTGTGCACTGCTTGGAGTGTGCACTGTCTGGAGTGTGCACTGCTTGGAGAGTGCACTGCCCGGAGTGTGCCCTGCCCGGAGTGTGCATTGATGGAGTGTGCACTGTGTGGAGTGTGCACTGCCTGGAGTGTGCACTGCCTGGAGAGTGCACTGCTGGAGTGTGCACTGCCTGGAGTGTGCACTGCCTGGACTGTGCACTGCCTGGAGTGTGCACTGCCCGGAGTGTGCACTGCCTGGAGAGTGCACTGTGTGGAGTGTGCACTGTGTGGAGTGTGCACTGATGGAGTGTGCACTGCCCGGAGTGTGCACTGCATGGAGTGTGCACTGATGGAGTGTGCACTGCCTGGAGAGTGCACTGCCCGGAGTGTGCACTGTGTGGAGTGTGCACTGCCTGGAGTGTGCACTGCCTGGAGAGTGCACTGATGGAGTGTGCACTGCCTGGAGTGTGCACTGCCTGGACTGTGCACTGCCTGGAGTGTGCACTGCCCGGAGTGTGCACTGCCTGGAGAGTGCACTGTGTGGAGTGTGCACTGTGTGGAGTGTGCACTGATGGAGTGTGCACTGCCCGGAGTGTGCACTGCATGGAGTGTGCACTGATGGAGTGTGCACTGCCTGGAGAGTGCACTGCCCGGAGTGTGCACTGTGTGGAGTGTGCACTGCCCGGAGTGTGCACTGCCCGGAGTGTGCACTGTGTGGAGTGGGCACTGCTTGGAGTGTGCACTGATGGAGTGTGCACTGCTTGGAGTGCGCACTGCCTGGAGTGCCCTGGCCCCTCTGTGCAGTGCCAGTGCCAGTGCCAGTGCCGGTGCCGGTGCCAGGGCAGTCCCTGCTGGAGCCCTGCCCTCTCCCGGCTGTGGCCGCAGTCCCACCGTCCCTGCCCGCGGGGGAGCCTGCCCATCACGGGGCTGCTCTCATTTGTATGCTGGTCAAGCTGGCTTCCAGTGCCAATCCTAATTATGTTTGCCTTGTGTATGATGAAGGTTACATTTCTGACTGATTTTGCCGGGCTGGAAGTGTAATTGATTAATTTAGAGTTTAAGAAGGGAAAGAGGATTAAGGCAGAGGTGAGGCTGTGCTGCCAGACGCTGCATTGACTGCTTCACACTTTCACAGCTTCAGCTTTTGTTTGCCTGCAAACCAGCTTGTCTGAGCTCCCAAGTTGTTGTTTCTCATGGCTCTGAGCTTGCTGGCAGATCCCTC